GTACCAAAATAAATAAATAAATAAACAAGGGAGACTGAAGTAAGCATTATTTATTATCTACTTCCAAAATGGGGTGTGGCCATTTCTGTTTTAGGCTAATCTGATGTATATTTGACCTAGAACTGGACCTTATTGTAGCTTTAGTTTGATTTGGTTCACCACTAGTTACAAATATTTTGAAGGTGAGAATTTTACTTCAGCAGGACCTGGATTTGGGATGCTGGCAAGATTCCAGAGATCCAACTGCTTAACAGTCTAACCATCAGCTTTTGGAAACAGTCTCTCTCTGCTTCATAGCTTTGACTCCAGGCTTGCTTTCTCCCTTCCTCCCTCCCTTCCTTCCTTCCTTTTTATCATCTGGATGGGGGGTATTTTTCTCAGCAGTCACTTGTGTAGGTTCTTAGTCTTTTTTAAAGGAATGACCCCAATGCCTGAGGGATGAGACTTTCCACTCTCCTGCCCCTCCTAAAAGTCTTCAAGAGTGCCTCTGATGGATTTCTCAGCTCTTCTACCTTGCCCCCTCATTTTAAAAGGCATTTTGCACCTGGAAAAGGCTCCTTAACATGGTAGATTTCTCTTCGCTCTCCTAATATTCATTTACTTCCAAATTTGGTATACTACATCCCTGTATTTGTTTAATATCTATGAAGTACGATTGGTGGGTGGGTGTGGGCTTCCTCTGGATTTGGGTCCTCCCAGATATTAAAGTCATGGCAGCCTCTATGGGGCCATTAAAATTTTGTTAACTTTCAGCAAGTTTCTCTTTACTCCCCCTATGGTGGATGATTCTTCCTAGCATAGTTCAATTAGAAATATGAGCAGCAATGAGTCTTTTCTCTCTTATGAAGAACTTGGTTGACATTTTCTCAAATTTGGTTTATGTAGGCTTGTGTCCTCTTCTTCCTGATGAATTTAAGATTTTTAAAAAATTTTCAAGCTAAAATCACTTCTTTTGTTATTTGATAGAGTGGGAGCAATATTCTCTTGTGACTTTCTGCATACAAAGCAGTTGTGAATTCCAGGAATTAGAGTTTTAAAATGGTTTTATTTACATATTTTGTTAACTTATTTTAAATTAAAAATACATGGATGATAGCAAGTTAAATTTTATAGAATTGTAAATAATGAAAAGCAGTATCTTTCCATCCTAGGTCCCTTAGTTCCTTTACTCCCTCCACAAAGACAGATGTCTTACAGTTTCCTATTATTTCTTCTCAGAATTGTATTTGTAAAATGTGTAAATATCTCTCCCCTTTATTTCCTTTAACCAAAATGGAAGCATATTTTCTTCACCTTCTCTATATAACTATTTTGCCATCTTAAGGACTTTTACAAGCTGCGTAATATGTCTTATTATGGATGTACCTTGTTTTATTTAAACAATTATTGGTAGTGGATATTTGGATGTTTCTAGTATTTCTTTTCTCACAAACAAAATGGTAAATATGCCTTTGCTCATATTCACCATTGACCATTGTTGAGTATATCATTAGGAACGACATATTTAAAATACTTTGTGAAGGCATACAAATAATATGAATATTTTGTTTTATTTCAAAGTGTTTTTTTTCCCAAAGTGATGGCTGGGGTCTCAGAAGTTTGTGGTATGAGTTTTGGGAACACTAGACGCTTCAAATGAGGCATGAGGTGCTAGATACTACCCAGCAGGTTGCATGGGAAAAAAAAGCTGGCTGTGGACTCTGAGAAAAGTAAAAATGACATTTAAATATTAAAAATGGAGAAACTCAGCTGCAGCTCCTTCTTTAACCTTAAATTGCACCTGGGCACCTGTAATTCCAGTGATTTGGGAGGATTCCAAGTTCAAGGCCAGCCTCAGCATCTTAGCAAGACCCTGTCTCAAAAAAAATAAATAAATAAATAAAAAGAACTGGAGATGTAGCTCAGTTTTATAGCACCCCTGGGTTCAATCTCCAATACCAAAAGTAAATAAAAGATAATCATATTGGAGGTACTATAAATTACTTATGCCTGATTCTTCTGCCTCCTCATTTCCCACTAAAAATTAGATTAATGTCTTGTTTGGAATGCTTTGCACAGCTATATGATTAGAATGATTTTAATAAATAGGGTCACATTTAAGGAGGTTTTCTAAGGGAAATGAAGACTCGTGTGATACACAAACATGCTTTATGTGATATTTAGGATTTTCCTGTAAAGATATTGTGTTTTTTTGTTTGTTTGTTTGTTTTTTTAAAGAGAGAGAGAGAGAGAGTTTTTTAATATTTAGTTTTTAGTTTTCGGCGGACACAACATCTTTGTTTGTGGTGCTGAGGATCGAACCTGGGCCGCACGCATGCCAGGTGAGCGCGCTACCGCTTGAGTCACATCCCCCACCCCAAGATACTGTTTTTTGAGAAGAGTTTTTAAGTTATATAATTGAAGCACATTAAGTTTGGTGATGCAATTTGAGAAATTAATGTACTTTCTTATGAAAAGGAACCTACCTAGAAAGTACTCTATTTCTCCTAAGATCTGGGGTCAAAGGAGAGATTTTGAAACATAACAACAATGGCTTCTATTTATTGAAAGGAATTCTTTTATTTCTTACAGGGCCCCTTCCAGGGAGATTTTATATTTTGAGATACAGGCTTTTGACTTTTCTACAAATGTTTTCTCTAAGGCTCCCCTGCTAGTTTTTAGCTGTAGCATTCTTCTAGTAGTACAGTTGTTTTATGAGTTAGAAACCTGGCAGTATTCCTTTAACATTATCTCCTTGTTGTGCATCCTCCCACATCCCATTCTGTATCTCAGGAGGTTTGTACCATCCTCTAAGTTTCTTAAGAATTCATTATTTTTCCCCCCATTTCTTTTACCCTCTTTCTGGTTCAGGTGAACTGGTTTCATCTCATTTGCACTCTTTTATCTCCCCTGGATTCTCCCAATTCATTCTCTGCTCATTAGCTAACATGAATTATTTAAATGTCCATTCTGATCATGCTGTTCTTTGCTCAAAACTCTCTAGTGCCTTCCCAATGTCCTTACAATAAAATCCCTCATATGGCCTTTGTGGATCTACACCACTAGACTCCAACTTTTTCACCTATTGAAACAAACCCTTTCCTCCTTTTCTTTTTCCAGTCACACTTCTCTTTCTGTGCTACAAACTGGCCAAGCTTCTTCCATCCTCAGGGCCTTTGCACAAATTCTTCCTTTGCCTTAGAAATCTTCCCTAACCTGCACATCCCTTTTCCAAGCTAATGCCTTATCCTTTAGGTCTCATTTAAAATATCCAGGGAAAATTTCCCTATTCAAACAAGTTAGAGACTGGTCCCCTGTTATTTACTCTTATTTGCTATTTTGTTTCTTTTTCTTAGTATTTACTACAATCCTAATGGTACAGTTGTGTTTCTTTTTTATTTTTTTCTATTATTGGCATAGGTAATACATACATATAAAATGAAATTCAAATTGTACAAAAGGTAGAGTGAAAATTCTCCTGTTCCCTGTACCTTTGGTGCCCAGTTCTCCTCCCTAAAAGTAACATTTAGTATTTTGACTCTCCTTCCAGAAATATTTTCCGAGTATACAAGCAATTATGTACATAATATTTCTCTTTTTTTAAAAAATTAAAGATAGTATATGCATTTTTCTGCACTTTGTCTTTGTTAATTATGTATCCTGGCAATTCTTCTATATCAATATGTAAATAGTTGCCTCTTTATTTTTCATGTGCCATATAGTATGGAATTATAATTTATTTAACTTCTATTGTTGGACATTTAGGTTGCTTTCAAGCTTTGGTTTATTGTAAACAATGCTGCATCATATACCTTTGTATGTAATTTCCCTCATCTATACCTATAGAATAAATTCCTATAATTGAAATAATTGAGTTTAAGGTTATGTGCATTTTTAATTTTGGTTATTGTCAAACTGCTCTAAATGGAAGTTTTACCAATTCACATTCCTGCTAGTGGATGAAGAATGCACGTTTCCTCATATCTATGTCAGTGAAAATTTTTGTTCTCTGCCAATGTAAAAGATGAAAAGTATCACTTGGAAATATTTATTTGCATGTGTTTTCTTCCTTGCAAAGTCTTTTTTCACATGTTTAAGAGTCATTTGTATTTACTTGGCGAAATGTTTCTTCATAAATTTTGCTTACTTATTGTCTGACTCGCTACACCCTGAAGGTCGGTCCGGGTGCAGAGATCCTGTATCTTGTTTATTCTAGTTCCAGGAACTAGAATGAGGCTGTAATAAATGACTGGCTCAGGTCATGCAGTAGTTATTTTTGCCTACAAAGCCCACCCGTTTCCTCAGATGACACAAGTATTTAATTCACTCAGGTGAGTAAGGTAAAACACCTGAAGTACGCTGGGATGTTAGGACCGTGGACAAAATCAACGAAATGTTTATCTACAGTCGCAGCCGCTATTTACTTTCATGCAGCAGTGCAGGCTCATTGTTGGCTCTTTATCCCGAAGCTAGATTTCTTGTGAAATCTCCTGATTTTAAAGTATTTCCAAATCAAAACAAGACAGCCTCAAATGCAGCCCACCAACAGCGGATTTGCAAACAACCGTAAACAAAAGTGGGAGGTTGATGAGCCGAGTACTTCCGGAAGACTACGAAAGCCAAGAAATGGGCAGTTTTGTTTGGAAAGCAAAAAAGCAATTCTCTGCCTGAGATTTTCAACCAAGACTCCTTCCTGGAAGCAGGATCGAATTAAAGACAGATTGGAGCCAGAGCAAGCCGGAAAACAATGCTACCATATCGGAGTGTGCTGTCCAGCTAGAACGATAGCAGCGTGCAGCCTCTACACAGCGATCGAGGTCTCCCACCCACTCCTTTAGAACCACGGGGTCTGAAGTGCCAACACCAACACTCCCCTCCGACCCGGAAGTCCCTGGGCTCGGAGCCTCACCTTTCCAGCGGGCAATCTACTTCCTTTTCGGCTAAGGCTTCCCGCCCTTCCCAGTTCTTCGACTTCCGTTTGCCTGGTCGTCTGGGAAACGGCTGACTTCCGGCAGCGCAGCAGTGGGCGGAGCCAAGATGGCTGAGGAGACGCTTGAGTCGGTGAGCACTGAGATTCTTTTTAGTGTCCCAGTAGCGGGGCAGGGCAGCACCCGGCGGTCCCCGAGGCAGGCTGGTGGACTGTCTCTGTCAGGCGCAGCCACTCCTGGGAGAGGCGGAGCCGAGTCCCGAGCGGCGGAACGACAAGTGCGGCCTCGGTTCACCCCTGGAGATGGTTGCCTAGGGCAAGTCTGAGTCCTTTTGTGGCCCAGACTCTGTAGTAGTACTGGTCTTTCTTGGGGTCCGCTGGATAGAAAAGAGATTTTCACCGGAAACGGCTCTGTTCTTAGTCCCCTTTTTCTTTCTCTTGACGGTATGGAAAGACATTATTACCACTTGCGTAAAGACAGTTTGTGTTAATCCTGTGAATTAGGAATATATTGAGATACAGCCTGAAAAGCTTTCACGCCACTGACTTTTGTTAGTGAAGCAGGACCATGTTTTCTCTGTTGTGATTAAGTTTTGGAAAGTACTGTTTGGTAATTCAGCTGGTCTGAATGAAGCATCAACTCCACAGAACTGTTAGATGTAAGATTAGTCCAAATGAAATCAGGATGACGCAGTGGTAGTTATTTAAAAATCTTTAATTGACACATAACTGTACATATTATGGGTTGCAGTGTGATAATTCACTACATGTATACAATGTATAAGGACCAAATCAGGATAATTAGCATTTTCTTAAGTATTTATCATTTCTTGTCATTGAGAACCTTCGAACTCTTTTAGTTTTGTTTTGTTTTTCCTGTTTTTTGGTACTGGGGTTTGAACTCAGGAGCACTTTGAAAGATGAAGGTTCATCGTTGGAGATTAAAATGCACACACACAGATAGCAGTGACAAAGATGAAGCACTTTACTGCAAGCAGGTGTTAGCTTATATAGAAAGTGAGAGTCAGTTATCTTAAACCAGGAAGCTCCCAGGGCCAATCATAGTAAAGGTCAGGTCATCACCTTCGGTGCACGCCTGTCCGCCCTGCATAAGATTTATGGGGGGCATGAACTGTCCATGAGTAGGGAAGACGGGAGGGCCAATTAGAAGATTTTCAAAACAACTTGCCTGTGGCCATATTGCATTAGGGGCTTCTTATCTGAAAGGCCCGGGGAGTTCTAGCAGCCCACTGCAATTTGCCCACTGCCATGTTTGAAAGGCCCGGGGAGTTCTCAGGGAGACTCCCAACACACTTAATCAGTGAGCCACAATCTGAGACCTTTTTATTTGTTTTTTAAATTTTGAGATAGGATCTCGCTAAATTGCTGAGGCTGGCTTTGAACTTGTGATCCTCCTGCTGCAGCCTCCCGAATCAGTGGGGATTACAGTCGTGTGCCACCATGCCTAGTTTCTTCTAGTGCTTTATAAAATACATAATAAATAGTTGTGAACTATAGTGACCCTACTTTGCTGTAGAACATTAGAACTTATCTCTGGTTTGATACCTCTTATCCAGCCTCCTTTTAATCCCCCTCTTCCCTACTCTTTCCTAACCTCTAGAGATCACTGTTCTATTCTTTACTTCCAATAAATCAATTGTTTTTAGCATACACTTATTTTTTTTAAAGAATTAACCTTTTTTTTTTAATGTGGTGCTGAGGCTCAAGCCCTGTTCCTTCTCATTCTAGGCAAGCATTCTACCACTGAGCTACAACTCCAGCCCTACTGTCCACTTATGAGCAAGAACACAAGTTGTCTTTCTGTGCCCGCCTTATTTCATTCAGTGTAATGTCCTCCAGTTCCAGTTGTGTTGCTGCAAATGGCAGGATTTTATTCTTTTTATAACTGAATTATTTTACACTGTGTATATGTACCACATTTTCTTTATCCATCTGTTGTTTATTCGTTGTTGGACATCTCCTTTGATTCTGTGTCTTGGTAGCATGGATAGTGCTGCAATAAACATGGGAACAGAAGCATGTCTTTAATATTTCATATATTCCTTTTGGTGTATACCCAGTAATTTGATAGCTAGATCATATTTTATTTCTGTTTTTAGTTTTTTGATAGTAGTTGTAAGGTTAGGCACCAGTAGCCAAAAGGAGGCAGATTAAAAGCTGCTGAGCAAGGCTGATTGAGATTCCCTCCCAGGCGAGACCCTCCAGTCAAACAGAGCAGGTCTGGGGAAGTCGCACCCAGGCTTGGATTGGAATTTTATTTGGCTTAGGGCAGGAAGGGAGGTTTGGGGCAGGAAGGGAGGTTTTAGGGTCCCTTGTCCTTCTAGGGTTGGTTGGGAGATCTTGCTGAGATCCCTGTCCTTCCAGGATTAGTCAGGAGACCCTGCTGATTGACAGGTGATTATTACTGTCTGTCCGTGCCTGATTGGTTGTTTTTTTGGTTCTTCGTTCCCTTAGTCACCTCAAACCAACCTAATAGTAGTAGTGAATCATATGTGCATAATTGGGTCTAATTTCTCTAAAGTTCCAAATGTGAAACTTTATCTACCTTGCTTTAGTATTAAATTTCTGTTGCTTGTTCTGTACTATATTAGAATGATTTTAGTTTTTCAGAATTTATTGTCTTTTGAAAAACATCCTGGGAAGCATAGTTGCTTTGGTTGATTATTTTATAACATAATTTTGTCTTAATAAGCAAGGCCATATTATCTGCTCAATGGACTTTTGTTTGTGTTCTATTCTCCTTTCATTTGTAGAGTAATCACATTATTTTAGTCTAAAACTGAGTATAAAGAAAACCCAAAGCAAAGATATTTTGTTAAATTAAGAATTAAAAAACTAAAATAACATGATTAATGTTACTAGACTTTTAAGATATTGGAAATTTTAAATACCTACTTTGCCTACATATCTTTTTTTTAATAGTTATATATATATAAATTTTTTTTTGTTGTTGTTGTTTGTTTGTTTGTTTTTTATGTGATGCTGAGGATCGAACCCAGGGCCTCGCACATGCTAGGTGAGCGCTTTAACTGAGCCACAATCCCAGCCCCCTACATAATCTTAAGATATATAAAGGGTGACATGCTGTAATACTCTTTATCCTCTAGTGCTTGTTGTCATATAGATAGGTATTTGTGGGACAGAATATGAATTTGATGTCTGTGATAGCAGAATTGTTCTGCATATTTGAATGTCAAATAGTATTTTAAAGAGGATGACTTTTTTTAAAATGACTTTAGCACTTCAGCTTGAAGCAAACTATTTTGTTGTTGTTGAGTTTATTGCTGGTAGTGTTATATTTATAGTAATTTCATTTTCTCAAGTTTCTGCTGCATGGAAATTTTAATTTTTGTCCTTTTTGGAAGTGAACTTGCCTCTCCTAATAAAATGAAGAGGATTCAACAATCCCACTCCTGAATCTGTGTCCCATAGAAATAAAAGTAAAGCATAAGCACATAGTGCATGGATATCTGTTGCGGCACTGTTTCTAATGGAAAGAAGCTGGGTAGTGGCACCATTTTTTTCCATGATAAATTATTTTGCCTCTTCTGAAATTTATAAAAGAACTGGGGACTGATATTTATAGATAAATATGTGAAAAGGAGGATTTTTTTTCCTTTTTTTCTTTGTGATACTAAGGATGGAACGCAGGACCTTGCATATGCTAGGCAAGTGCTCTACTACTGAACTATATCCCTAGCCTTTTTTATTTTATTTTGAGAAAAGGTCTCACTAAATTGCCCAGACTGCCCTTCAACTTCTAATCCCTTGCCTCAGCATCCTGAGTAGCTGGGATTATAGGGGTACACCACTGTGCCCAGCTTAATTTTTTTTTTAAAGCAACAAGCAGATAGCTCTGGTTTCCATGATTTATACTTATAAAATTTTTATAGTACCCTAATTCTGTTGTTTTTATATTTTATTTTTTGCAATGCTGGGGCTGGAACCCAGAGAGAGAGAGAGAGAGAGAATTTTTTTTTAATATTTATTTTTTTTTAGTTATCGACGGACACAACATCTTTGTATGTGGTGCTGAGGATCGAACCCGGGCTGCACGCATGCCAGGCGAGTGCGCTACCGCTTGAGCCACATCCCCAGCGCCCAGTAGGGTGTCTTCTGATTCAATTGTTTGATGTTATCTCTTTGATATAGCATCAGGTCCCACATGTTGAAAGCTCAGCCTTCAAGACTGATCTTGCCTTTCATATACCAGTAGTGAGGCCCAGGTGGTTTGACCTGTGCTTTTGATTGGCTTGCTATAAATTGGAAACTCCCTCAATGGGATTGATTAGTTTGCTCTAGTGGCTCACAGAACTCAGGAAAACACTTGCTTACATTTATTGGTTTATTAAAAAGAATATTACAAAAGATACAGATGATGAGATGAGATACGGGGAAAAGGAGCAGAGCTTCCATGACCTTTCCAATCCACCACCCTCCAGCAACTTCCATGTGTTCAGCTCTCCCAAAGTTCTCCCTATCTGTCCTTTTAGGTTTTTATGGAGACTTAACTGTGTAAGCATGCTTACTATTAGACTGAGTGGGGAAGCCCAGCAAGCCTGATCCAGTCAGATTCTTCTTGGCCTCTCTGTGTAGCATTCCTTCCAGGTAGACAGTAGGGATTCTTAAATGGGGTCTTATGATTTGACTAGGTAAGTCAGAATTTCATTATGCCAGTGACTTCAAGGCAGGGGAAGGTTTAAATTTCTAGGGTTTGCTGTGGGGTGCAGGGAAATTCTAGTTTCTGTGGCCTGTCTTGCGGGAGGAAGAGGACTAAGCAGAAGGAGGGGCAGGGGAGGTCAGAAAGAGAGACTGCTTTCTGAAGCCTGCTTCTGAGACCTTAAGTGCCCTAACATTTTTCTAATCACTTAGGAAATATTGAGGGCTTTGGAGTAAAGGAACCTGAATAAAAACATATCTGTATATCTCTGTCTATCTGTATGTATCTATCTTAGTCTTTCCTTTTGTGGAACAAAAGTTCTTAATTCGTTTTTTGTTCTGTTTTTTTGAGATGGAGGTCTCACCTACAGCTCGTAATCCTCCTGTTTCAGCCATCACAGTAGCTGGGACCATTATGTATCCTATTGCATCAAGCTTCAGAAGTTTCTAATTTGGCAGGGAGTTGTGGAACGGTACTGGGGATTGAACCCAGGGGTGCTTTACCACTGAGGTTCATCCACAGCCCTGCTTTTTTAAAAAAACAAAACAACAACAACAAAAAAAAAACCCTTTATTTTATTTATGTGGTGATGAAAATGGAACTCAGTGCCTCACATGTGTTAGGCAAGTGCTCTACTACCACAACCCCAGCCCCATCTCCAACCTTTTTTATGTCTTTTTTTTTTTTTTGAGAGAGAGAGAAATTTTTTAATATTTATTTTTTGGTTTTCGGTGGACACAACATCTTTTTTTTTTTAAGAGAGAGAATTTTAATATTTATTTTTTAGTTTTTCGGCGGACACAACATCTTTTATTTTATTTTTTGGGGGGAGTGTGTGAGAGAGAGAGAGAGAGAGAGAGAGAGATAATGTTCAATATTTATCAATATTTATTTTTCAGTTTTTGGCCGACACAACATCTTTGTTTGTATGTGGTGCTGAGGATCGAACTCGGGCTGCACGCATGCCAGGCGAGCGGGCTACGGCTTGAGCCACATTCCCAGCCCTCTTTATTTTTATGTGGTGCTGAGGATCGAACCCAGCGTTCCACGCATGCCAGATGAGCACACTACTGCTTGAACCACATCCCCAGCCCTTTATGTGTTATTTTAAGACAGTGTCTCGCCAAGTTGCTTAGGGCCTTGCTAAATGGCTGAGGCTGGTTTTGAACTTGCCTCAGCCTTCTGAGCCACTGAGATTACTGGCATGGGCCACTGCCCCCAGCCAGAAGTTTTAAATTTTAATATAGTTGAATATGGATGAATTTACTTGTTTGTATATATTGTTTTATATAGTAAATAATCCTTCCATACCCTGTTTTTTAAAAGCTTTAAAATTTTTGCCTTTTCTGTTTTAGTCTTTGATCTATTTGAACTAGTTTCTTTCTTCTGATAAATTTTTTTCCTGAAAGTCTGTTTTGTCTAAGGTTAATATTGGTACTGTGGTTTTCTTTTTGTTTCTATTTTCTTGATGATTCTTTTCCCATCTTTTACTTTGTCTTTATGTTTTAGATGTGTCTTTATAATAACATGCATCTGGATATTTTAACAAACCCATTCTGGGGCTGGGATTGTGGCTCAGCGGGGTAGAGCGCTCACCTAGCACTGGAGGGACCTGGGTTTGACCCTCAGCATCACATAAAAATAAAGGCATTGTGTTGTGTTCATCTACACCTAAAAAATAAATATTAAAAAAAATCCATTCTGATAGAATCTATCCTGGAGAATTTTATCCCCCTTTTCTTTCTTCCTTCTTTTTTTTTCCCTTCCCCTCCATTTGTTTATTTATGTTTTTGTAGTGGGGATCCAACCTAAGTTCTCACACATGCCAGGCAAGGGCTTGAGCCCTTATCAGTCCCTCACCTTTTTTTTTTTTTAGGTGTAGATGGACACAACACAATGCCTTTATTTTTATGTGGTGCTGAGGATCAACCCAGGTCCTGCCCATGCTAGGAGAGTACTGCTGAGCCATAATCCAAGCTGAATTATTTTTCTTTCTGAATTATTTCTCTTTTTGCACCTCTCATTCCATTTGTTGTACATTGTTTATGTTGCCTTCCTTTAGTGAGTACCAAAAAAATTTTAAATAGGTGTTTAATCAAACTTAAATCTGAATAATACAGGGGCCATCAAATGCTTTACTGCTTATTGCCATCTGACAATTTAAGCCATTTGTTGTTTAGTTTTTTGTAGTTCTTGATGTTTTTTTAATTCAGCACCACAAATTATACCTTGTTTAACAAGATGCTGAAAATAGGGCTGTGGTTGTGGCTCAGTTGCAGCACACTCATCTGGCATGTGTGGGGCACTGGGTTTGATCCTCAGCACCAAATAATAAATAAACAAATAAATAGAATAGAAGTGTTGTGTCCATCTACAACTAAAAAAAAATATTAAAAAAAGATGCTGAAAATACTCATATATTTTAGCAGTTCCTTTGCTTATTCCCTTCTTCATTCTGGAATTATTTTCTTGTTTTCCGGTGTTTATCCCTTACAGTTTAGTGAGAGTCTAAAAACTTCAACATTCTGAAAGCCTTTGATCTTGAAAGTTTTGATGGGTATAAAACTCTAGATCAGGGATTGGCAAACTTTTTCTGGGTAAAGGGCCAGGTAGTATTTTGGGCTTTGTGGACTATACAATCTGTTATAAACACTGAAGTATATTGTTGTAGTATAAAATAAACCCTACTCAATATATAAACATAGAAGTATGGCTGTGTTCTGATAAAGTTTCATTTGTAGACATTGAAATTTGACTTATGGAATTTCCAAATATACTTTTTTCAACCATTTAAAATAAAAAAACCACTCTTAGCTTGTGGGTCATATAAAAACACACTGGATTTGACTTGCAGGCATGGTTTGCTAATGTGTGATCTAGATTAATAGTCATTTTACTTAGTATCTGACATTTGGAGTAATTATTCTTATGATTTATTAGTGTGGTTTCAATTTCCAGTTTTGATTGTAGACAGCTGCCAATCTACTTGTCCTTTCTTTGTAGGTTATCTGGTGATATTTTTATTCTTGGGCTGCTTTCAAGGTTTTTTGTTTGTTTGTTTTGTTTTTTTGAGATGCTAGATATTGAACCCAGGGCCTCATGCTAGGCAAGTGCTCTATCACTGAGCAACATCCCCAACCCTAAGAATTTCTTATTGTCTCTGGTGCAGTTTCTTGTAATATACCCAAGTGTGGATTTCTTTTTCATTTTACTTAGTCAGGATTTGTTGCATATCTAGAACTTAAGAATTAAAGTCTCTTATTATATATAGGAAACTTTCTTTCTTTCTTTTTTTTTTTTTTGCTTATAACATGGCATTTCATGTATAAAACAAAATTGGTATAAGAAAAATCCATTTGAATATTTTCTACAAAGTTATGGTGTAAGTATTATATCTCCCTCTGAGAATTGAGTTCTAGGCAATTTCTGTGCAGATGACCTTATATGCTTCCTTTTATCAAATAGAGATTACCTTTCTGGTTTGATTACTGAGAAGTATATCAGAAGGAGAATACTAATATGAAGTTTTTTAGAACTTAATACATTAAAAATATTGATGCATATATTATATACCATATTTTTGTATATTATAAATATATTTTATAAATAGGCATTATGCATTATAGTTTGGATAGAAAATGTATAACTTGATACTTAATGAATTATTTGTATGATTGATGAGCTTCTGATTATTCTTGTTATTTGAATATATCCTAAGTGCTTTAACATAGATAACTTCTTTCATTTCAGAAAATTCAATATTCTGCATCTGCTGAATCTCAAAAACCCAGGCAGAAAAAAGGTCTGTATTAAATTTCATTATATGTGTATATTTGCACAGATTACTCTGTCTTATTGGTTCTTTTTTATATTCTTTTTAAAATTTTTTTTAAGTTGTTGATAGACCTTTATTTTATTTATTTATTTATATGTGGTGCTGAGAATTGAACCCAGTGCCTCACACATGCCAGGCAAGTGTGCTACTACTGAGCTACAGCCCTAGCCCTCTTTTTTATATTCTATATGCATTAGAACCTTTTAAAATATTAGTGTTAGGAAACATCAGTAATAGTGCAAATGTTCTGCCATATATACCTTTTATTTTATGAGTTCACTAGGTATTGTTGATCTGTGAATGTATTTAAATGGAGTTTGATTATTATGTAAGAGTGTGCTCATTTTCTACTTGTGCAAACAACACTCTGTTAAGTTGTATAGTACATACTAAAGTAGAGGAAAAAGACAAGGAGGAGGGAGGTAGAGAGGAAAAGGGGAAATACTAGGGAATGATACTGACCAAATCATATTATTATATCATGTACATGAATATGTAACAACAAATCCCACAATTATGAATAATTACAATGCACCAATAAAAATATGGAAAAGAAAAATATTATAGCAAAAAACTAAATTAATTGGCTAATAAAAAAACAAATCTGGCTTCAAATAATCTTATGGATATGTTAAGTAAGTGTGGGATTTTATAAAAATTGAATCTGGACCAAATTATGGTATATGTAGGTACATATATTTCAAAAATGAATCCTATTATAATTCACCAATAAAGATGTTTTAAAATATTCTAAAAATGTGGAAAGAGAAAAAAATTTCTAAAAATTGCATCTGTACTGAAAAAAAATTAAGTCTGGAAAGCCTAACTAGATGAAGGCCTACATTGAAAAGAGCTACATTTAATAATCTGAGAGAGAGATGATATATATTTTATTAGAGGAACAGAATTACTTCATTTGTTAAGTTTTAACGTTTTAGGAGAGTTTACATCAGTTGTTAGTTGACATTGATGTTTGTTTACCCATGTCTGATAGATTGGTTGCCCTGCTATTTATCAGGCATTAGAGAAACACCTGAACTTGTCTATGGAAAAGGCACTCATTCGTTCATCTATGTATCTACTATTTTTCAGTTAATTAATTCTAAGTGAGAAAACCAAGGCAGAGTGGAAGGGGTATGACTTGCTTAGATCTTGTCTGTAGTTCTTATCTGAATACATAAATTATAGCTGCCAGACTATCTATCCTTTTGTAGCATGTGCTAACAGTATAAAAGTTAATTTTGTCAATAAACTGTTTAGTTTATTTGGGTCATTTCTATCATTGTTTTATATATATATATTTTTTTTTTGTTGTTTCTTTTCAATTGGCTTATTAAGGCAGAGGACAGGAGGGGTCTGTGGCAGGCACTAGCGAACCAGAGCCATTTCTGTCACTCTTTGGAATTATAATGGAAGTTGTTGGAAAATATGATTGCCTTTCAGAAATGTATTTTGAGAGAGTTTTTCAGGAATACCACTTTCATTGGAAGAGTTATATATCTGTAATTTAGATTATTTGTGAAATTCAGATGTAGTTCTGCCAAGACTGAATGTAATTGCTAATATTCTTTTTTTATTCCAGTGCCAGGGATAGGCTAATATTCTTTATACCATTTCTGGATATGAGAATCATCTTATTGTGATATGTGTCACTTCCTTTAGTCACCAGGGTAATTTGGCCAGTTAAGTGGGGTTAGCATTTATTGTCATTGACTTTTCAGTATTCATTTTTCCTCTGAAGTCAAATCCTATGGTTTGATTGACTCCAGACACAGAAGATACTTGTATACCAGCCAAGAGTTGCCTAGGCTTAATTCAGGTTAATGAGATACTAAGTTTTTTTGCTGCAGGAGGTGGGGGAAAGGGACACATTTGGTATGTAATGCTAAAACCTTTAATAATGCTATGGGGCTCAGTTTTTTTTTTTTTTTTAAATCAGTTTTTCCTTCCTTCTCCATTGCAGAATAACTACTTTCTGATTTCTGTTATTAAAGTTTAGTTTATTTCTCCTTGAGCCCCTCATATATTTGAGGACTTACCATGTTTTAGGTATTGGAAATACAAAGTTAAAAACAGAGCATGGAATCTTCCCTTAGGAAATTGACAGTCTTCAGGACATATAGAACATAAATAATTACAGTGCAGTATACGTTCCCAATGTCTTTTTTCTGAAGATTAAATATTTCTAGTTGTGACAACTTTTTTTAAAAAAAATATGAGATGTTTATAGTTCCTTTGACTTATGGCCTTCATTCTCTGACGAACTTTGGTGTCCTTGGAAGTATAGAGTTCAGGACAAAATAGAATATTCCAGGTATAGTGTGAATTGGGCCAAGTAGAATAGCTGGAAGATAATATATTTTATTAAACACAAGTGTGCACACATAATAGAATACATACAACACATAACATTATAGTATTTTGCCGCAGTCTGGCTGGGCACAATCAGGAGCCACTTGTCAAAAGAAACTAACTTTATTTTTAGAACCACACACGCCAAACAAAACAGCCTCTCAGGAAAAACCCTCAGAGCCTCAACTGCCACCACCGGCTTTCCACAAGCCTCTCTCTCCCCCACAAGCTTCTCTCCACCTCCCACAATCCTCCTGCTCTTCAGGCCGATTGGCTGGGTCACGTGGGCGGAGCCAAAAAAGTCCCCCAATGAGCAGCTCCGTGGTCTGAAAGGGCAGGGAAATAGGCCAATGAGCATCACCGCAGAGGAGCCAATCAGCTAGATGTTGCTGGGGCCGCTGTGAGCCAATCATCAGCCGGCAGCTGGTTGCTGGCAGCTGGAAGTTTGCTGGGGCCCCTTCGGCTGTGGCTCTCAACATCTCCCCCTCTCTGTTTAAACAACAAGCATGTGGCTTAGGGACCGTGCCTGCCTTAGGTTGTCCAATAGTACATATGGTCCTTAGGTTGGTACCATTGCAATTGGATCTTACCCCTCACTGACTACCGGTCCAGTATACAGCCACACCTGTGGAGAGGTCTTTGTACCAGTGGGGGGTGAGGTTCTTTGCCTCACCTCTGTTGGCCCCCAAATTTTAGCTGGACGATCATGACAAGCAGAAGGGAGGAAGATACACCAAGCCAATTGACAGCTTCTTTTGGAAAAATTGTACCACCAATGACATCATCAGCAAAAATACCCCAACACTACCACAAGTCGCTGCACCAACAGATAGATCACAATGCATACAGGTGAGCTCACAATGTGTCCAGGCAAGTTCTGCAAGCAGTTCAGTGATGGCTATTGTAGAAGCTGTAGATTGGTTTTATCTTTGACTTCACCAGCACTGGGATGAAGATAGGAATTCTGGCAATAATGGCTAAAGAAAAAATTATGTAACATTACAGAAGGCACTAAAAGAAAACAATTTTCTTAACAATTTACATTATCTTTAAGAGAATTATTAAATATAATGAAAAGGAAAGGTGAAAGTAAACAAACAGATCTGTTAACCTTCTTTTTTGTTTACATATAAAAACAATCCTCAACAGTTGTTTACCCAATTTAAATTAAACCATATAAATCACGTGAAAAAAAAATATTTGGATCCATTTTATCATGAGCACTCATCATATATGATATATGGACATACGTACATTCAAACATATAACACAAAACACAAGTGTGCACACATAATAGAATACATACAACACATAACATTATAGTAAAGGCCTTATAACTTTTTACAGGTGAAATCTCCATTGCAATGTTTAAAAACTCTATAGTCAAAAAATAGAACGGATCAGCAAAACATTAACCTAGGTCTGTATGAGCTCAAAAAACAAAATAGAACTTCATGATATGGCAAAGGGCAATAATAAAATAGATATTGAAAAAAGCATCCTGGTTCTGTTGCAGATGTAAGAATAGCCAAACTGGAGTTTTGGATATCAGTTGTTATGGATTTGAGCCAAATCATCTTCTTTTTGGTCTGTAGAAATCGCTTTAGTTAATCTTTCTGGAATCCAAATCGGCTGCTGTTCTCCCTGTGGAAACACATAAACAGACCCCCGACTCCAGACAATCACTGGGTCAGGACCTTGGTTAATCTCTCTGGAATCCAAATCGGCTGCTGTTCTCCCTGTGGAAACACACAAACAGACCCTCGACTCCAGACAATTACTGGGTCAGGACCTTTCCATTGTCCTGTTAGAATATCCTTCCAAAGTACCTTGGGCTTATGCACATTTTTTGGACACATATGCCTTTCCGCAGCACTAAGTCCTGATGAATCCAAATTTAAAAAGTTTAGAGTAAAAAGGGTTATTTTAAGTTTATCTTTGGGGAATATATACCCCTTCCCAATTCCTTCTTTTTGCTTTAATAAGTACATTTTAATAGTTTGATGAGCTCTTTCAACTATGCCTTGTCCCTGTGGATTGTATGGGATTCCTGTTATATGAGTAATGCCAAATGATGAGCAAAATTGTTTAAAAGAGGTAGAAGAATAACCAGGGGCATTATCTGTTTTTAACTGTTTTGGAACACCCACAGTGGCAAAATTTTGTAAGCAATGAGCTATAACATCTTTAGTTTTTTCTCCGGCATGAAGGGAGCCCATCAAAAATTCAGAAGTATCAACTGTAACATGCAAATATTTTAATTTTCCAAATTCTGGCAAGTGTGTGACGTCCATCTGCCAAATATGGTTAGGTATCAATCCTCTAGGATTGACTCCAAGATTAACTTGTGGTAAAAAGGTCACACAATTTTGACATTGTTTTATTATTTGTCTAGCTTGTTCCTTAGTTATTTTAAAGCGCTTTTGTAAAGTATTAGCATTGACATGGAACTTTTTATGAAAATTTATAGCTTCTTCTAGTGTAGAGAAAATATGTATGTCATGTGCAGTTTTATCTGCTAAATCATTGCCCAAACTAAGGGCTCCAGGCAATCCTGTATGTGCCCTGATATGTCCTATAAAGAATGGATCTTTTCTGTCCCAGATTAGACTTTG